TACCTACTTCTGCAGTTAACCACAGCCTGTGGTTAACTGCAGAAGTAGGACACGTGTCCTCCTTCCACTAAGAAAAAACTTCAAAAGAAAATTATAAAATGGCCTAAATTATACCGATTCCAGATTGAACCAGTTAGCCTTTAGGTGTATTATTAAAAAAAATAATAAAAAAAACCGCTATAAGCAGTTGTCTGTAGTTCCTCTCCTTTCCTTTCACAAAAAGAGAGTGAACTTTTTTTCATTTCCAACTCACTGCGATGCTATAGTGATGGTGCCTCTGACTTGGGACAAGCTTGTCTGAGTTGTTGTACAGATCCGATAGAAGTAATTCACACAGAACTTTGCTATGGATATCGTGAAATGCAGCCAGGTTAAACGAAAAACACGACGGAATGTTGACACAAGCAAATCCACACTCGCTGCCATTTCCAACATAATCCGAGCCGATAGTAGTGACGTTGAGGTAGGAAAACTTGTGGGCCTTAAATTTGGCATAAGCTATTCCTTCAGCTGTACCTCGGCTGAGAGGTTTACCCCGCACATCGACGACTTTTGTTTCTAGAAATGAAGAAAGGAATGATAAATGATTACTTAACCTTTAACTCCCACAATCTTATTAGTAATTCTTCGTACTGTTTGCCATACAGTTCTTGTGATGTTAGTTTGGAGAATTTGGTATTGGGTCAATCTATAATCCCCTAATTGATATTTTTCTTTATTCTCATCACTTTTCTGCTTGACATTGCATTGATATTGTAAGAAGAAATTCTGTCTTGGTCACATGCACATGGAAGTTAAAGGGTTAAAGTATTTTGCTCATGCACGATATTTAATCAGGAGTCAGTCTTAAACGCTTTACGTGCCATGAGAAGCATGCTGTAGAAAAACTATTTCACGAGTACGTGAAAATAGTTCCTTGAAAGTTCAAGGAGTCCAAACTGCATTTCAAAGTCGAAGTTATACGCTATCTTCCCCTCGTCACCGAATTTGATCAGTTCCCTGACATTTGAATTAGGCAATTTTATAACAAATTGAAATGAACTTGCCAAAGTGTAAAACGATGTGGTAACATTCTAAGGGCTAATTATTATTTGTTTGGTAAAAGATCAGATATCAATTGAAAACCTGTCGTAAATCTATGTATACCTAGACTGAAATTTTTCTGTATCATTTCAGTGCCGCTCTCGCTAAGAACGGTCGTTTCGACTTCCCGTCAATTAAAAAAAAAGTTTCGTTTATTTTTTGCCCATGAATAGGGTTTAGGACACATGCAACGAAAACATAGTTTAGTTCTTCTCCAATTCTCTTTTTTTGCGTCACCACATGCCAAAACTGATTTTTGATCAGAAGAGAAGAGTCTCCTCGGATCACACTGGTATGAAAATATTTCAGGTGAAGTTTCTATATTAATTTTTTGCCTGTGAACTAACTGAAATTCACACTTTCGATCGCTGTCCACACGGGTGGTCTAGCCATAAATTTGAATTAAGCAATTTTATAACAAATTGAAAGGAACTTGCCAATTTTGATCTTCTCTACACTGTGCGTAGTTTATGACCTGTGTTTCAACGCAAACTATCGAGAAGGCGCCTTCCGATCACTTTTGTTTACTTTTTAAGTCACGCAAGCACAAAAGTGTTACGGCCGATCAAGTTTGCGCAACGTTCTCGGTCAATTTTTTTGATGAGCATAGACAGGAAGAATACTCTTGTTGAAAACTTTGAATTATTGATCAGTTCGAAGTATATTAACATCTTTATCAGGAGTCAGTCTAAAATGCTTTACGTATCACGAGAAGCATGCTGCAGAAAAACTATTTTCACTAGTACATGTAAATAGTTCCTTGAAAGTTCAAGGAGTCCGAAATGCATTTTGAAGTCGAAGTTATATGCTTTTTTCACCAGGCCACCGAAATTTCATCAGTTCCCTGGTATTTGTATTAAGCTATTTTGTAACAAATTGAAAGGAACTTTCCAAAGTGTAAAACGATATGGTGAAATTCTAAGGGCTAATTATCATTTTTTTTAACACTAAGATCATATATCATTTGAAAACCTGTCGTAAATTTATGTACACCTAGACTGAAAATTGTTTATATCAATCAATTAGCATATACATGAGGCCTTCTCTTGTTGAAAACTTTGAATCATTGATCAGTAAGAAGTATATTAATATTTTCAATCAGTATTCAGTCTAAAACGCTTTACGTACCATGAGAAATATGCGGTAAAAGAACTATTTTCACTAGTGCATGGAACGAGTTCCTTGAAAGTTCATGGAGTCCAAACTACATTTTGAAGTCGAAGTTACATGCTACCTTCATCAGGCCACCGAGATCTGATCAGTTTCCCGGCATTTGAATTAAAAAATTTTATAACAAACTCTAAAGAACTTGCATAAGCGTACAACGATATGTTAAAATTCTAAGGGCTTATTATTATTTGTTGTCACAGATCTAGATCACATGTCAAAGTGATAACCTGTTGTATAATTATATGTTATTTGCCGGCTGGGAGGTCCGTATGGTGAAAAACTGTGACCGAGGTCTTGAAAATACTGCCCGAGGCCGTAGGCCGAGGGCAGCATTTTCAAGACCGAGGTCACAGTTTTTCACCATACGGACCGACCCTTAGCCGGTAAATAACATATTTATTGTTTTTAAACTTGACGAAATTCTTTCCGAAAGAACCCGAATGATTTATGGACGTAAATACGGCAACATCTTTCATAAACTGAACAATTTTTGAGTGGGTAAATGGTATTTAAAATAGAGGTGATGCAAATTTAAGAGACATGCCTCAGCGAAACATTTTCATTTCCGTAACGATCAAGGTGATTTAAAAGGCTTCCAAACAAACTTTGAAACATTATTTTTACAAGTATCTGTCACAATCTGACACCTGTCAATTAGAGAGCGCGCAAGAAAAAAAAAGCGTAGGAACATTTGAAAACCAACAGAACTAGTTTGGCAAGGACTGTTACGACAATGTTTTCTTCAAAATCAGTTAATGATCTAACGGAAAGTATTATTCACTCTCATCGACCATTCATTCATGTACGAAGATTTACCTCTGTTCATTAAGTAAACGGCGAGGAAAGTAATTGTGAGTAAATTCAATTTTTTTATTTTGAAGTTGTGAGAGTTTGCTCGTTTGTTTGCTGTAATGGCGTGTTTAACTCTGATCTTTCCTTCACAAAAACTAAATTCGAACGGCACACTCCAACGAGACACAAGGGAATGTAATGCGGCCTTTTCTCAAAAAATTCCTTCAATTTCTGTTGTGCAATTTAAGGTACAAATGTCCAAATTGAACGGAATTGGAAAGACTCACCAGGAGCGTATATTTGTTGTAGAACTTAAATTAAAACTTCGCTCGCTCTTTCACTATGAACAAATTGCTCGAGAAAATTCAGATATTAAATGAATAAAAGTTCTATCGTTCAGTTTAACTGTAACCAAATACCTCACGTTTCAACTTTCTGGGTACTTTTTGTGAACGATTAAAATTAATTGCAGACGGTTTTTAGGCCGCTTGTCAACCAACGTAATGACACTATTGTTTATACAAATTCATTCTGAAACCAATATTTTTCTGTCAACCAAAGTGATTTGATAGAGAAAAAAGAGAGGATTCATAAGTTATTTATCGGCTTGAGGTAGTGACCGACGTGTTTGCTTAAAAATACTGCCCAGCCGGAAAACGAAGTATATTTATGAAAAATGACAACGAAAGTTGGGATGTACTCGGCGACTCACGAAAGCGTTACCGTGGCCCGTGGGCAGAGATAGGAAAATACTGACCGGGTAAAGAACCAATCAGATTGCAAGATTCGTTACCGTGCCCTCTAAAAAAACAATAATTATATATATTTAGACTGAACTTGTCTTTATGTTTTAATTTGCACATAGAGGAAGCCTGACTGAAAACTTTGAATTATTGATCAGTAAGAAGTATATTTTTTATCTCCTTCACATAGTTTTCAAGTGTTTAAATTTCGATATCTTATCAAAGTATCTAAAACAGTCGCATTATATTACACCAAGATAGTTTAGTGTTATCGACTGATTTGAAAACGTAAATTGGCCACCGTAAAGAGTTTAAAGGCTGACGTAGGGCTGACGCTCGAAACGGCAGTCTTTAAACTCTTAACGGTGGCCAATTTACGTTTTCAACTCAGTTGATAACACTAAATTACCCTGTTATACTCTCTCACCGACGCAGCACCACAGTTTCTTTAGAGAATTACCCTCTTTATATTACACCAAGCCTGTTTTTCTCTGCTATCTTGCATTTGTAAACTGACAACATCTATCATCAGACGTGACTTCCGAAAAGGAACCAGTTAGAGCTGACAAGTTTTCACGAAAAGATATTTCTTATACTCTTTATGAGAACAATAACGATAAGAAAATTCAGCAAAGGGATCGATGAAACAAATTTATGGTCATGAATTCTTCAACATTATGAGTGTTCTTAAGATGCTTCTCTCTTAATTTTCAGTAAAAGTTGATTTCTTTCAAACTTACTGTCTCTTTTTCGAAACAAAGCAGTTGCAGCACTTTTCAAGAATATGCAACTTTGAAACAGATACATGAATAATCCAAAACTCATACTCCTCTACCATTAACCTCAGAAACATTTTTTATATCATTGCTCTTTCCCCAAAGTTCAGTGTTAATCATATTGTAAGAGGACTCAGCAGTATTTTGATCAACAGTAAATGAATGAGTGTCTTAGCAACAAATTCAAACACTTCATCGAAGACACAGGCTTAAACGCTTTTCGCAATCTGGTATTCTCGAGGAAAAAAAATGATCTTCATTGCTTTCTGAAGTAGGTGAAAGAGAATGCAATGGTGATACAAAGGAGATGACAGCTTTCAGCATAACATTAACAAAAATGAACTGAAAGTATAGTTAATCTGAAAGCTTTAAATGCTATTCCAGCAGAAATATCCAGTTTACTATATAACTGAAAATATAATAATATGGACATCACCTTCGTCTGCAACAGCCCGGCAATGAAACCATGTGAACAAAAGAACAGACGCAAAACCAAAGGAAAGCACCCTGAAAGTGAAGCCTTGTCCTTTCAAATACATCACATAAACTGAAATATATTCAGCGACAGACTATTTGTACACTGCTGACGATTTTAGTATGATGCGCGACTGGACATCAAGAATTTGGGTCCTAATTCAACGACCACTGCCCTCATTTCTGCAACGCAAAGCAATGAATTTTTAATGTCATTTGGCATTTTTAGCATGATAAATTATTTATAGCGTGATTGTTTATGCCTCTCAGGATAGATCAGTTAACAACCCACGCTCACAATTTTGAAAGGTGATTCTTTGGCATATGGGTTTTTTTCCCCTGAGAAACATTCAGGCTCAATTCTGAACATATTTCATGCTGATTTTCTGATTTTCTTCCAAATAACAAGTTCTAGAGGTAGTTAACGCCAAAAACTAGTACATTTACTCGTTGTTTTCTAAAATCATTTTAGAAAACGACGATATTAAACATAATATGTATAATATATTATTAAAACAATGATATTACCCGTTTATAACAATGGAACGAGGCAAGGCGTTCTTCTCCTTAAATGAAAATTAAAACAGGCTCATCTATCGGCAGAAAATGCTATAGAGACGTAGCATTGTGCGTTTCGTTGTTAATATCCGATGTTTTATATATGTTATTATAAAACAAACAGATGAGGAGCAGTATTGGACCAGCAGGTATCAATCTAACTTTTACTATGTTTAAAATGCAAATGTTTCCTGTTGTGTTGTCTGTTTATCCTAAAGCCTTGTCGCGTGGACACTCATGATCTAGTAGTTTTGCATACCGGAACCGAAATTTTTAATTGAAAAGAAATTATTTTCAAAAGCATGAGCCGTTGACATGTCTAAAATGGGAAACTCTTGTTTCAGACGTTGAGAAATTCCTCGCCATGAGGATCCCACTGAATGAACTCTGATACATTGTCTACTACATTCAAACAACCGTTAAAAGAGGTATAAATATCATGATTGTGAAAGTGGAAAATCATTTTAACTAGCCCATAAGTTCAAAGCAGTGCGACTTGACTGCAAAGGAAGTCATTTTAGCTAACCTACGAGACGCAAACTCAACATTTACTGACCATTGAAAATGCTCATTGATTAGCCCACGGACGTACAAGGGGGAGGGGGGGGGGGGAGTTGGGCATAGGGGGTGCTCCCTTCCGCCCTTGGTTTTTTTTTGGCAAATTTATTCAAGAAGATTGTTTATTTTGCTGTGAACTTGGTGAAAATTATATGATAGATATGGGAGAGATATTTTATTAATGACAATTGAGGTGTGGTTTAAGGGTCGATATAACTATGAAAGAATTAACGGTTTTAATTTCCGAAGTGAAACAGTAAACCCTTAGTCTTATTTTCATTTTCCTTTCAAGTTCGATAACTGCTGTTCTTTTGAAAAACCAACAATTATAGTGAAACAAGGAAAGAAAAATCTTAAAAAGACTGTCACGTCGGATGACGTCACCGAATCTCAACAGCCCAATTTGCATATGTATCCTCTGATATTAACCACATCTCGTAGACGGAGGCTATCTATTTAAGGTAAAAACCTTCTGAAATTTTTGCAATGTAAATAAAACACAAGGGAGAGTTCCAACCAATCCCTCCCTTCCCCCCTTGTACTCCAGAGGAGATATAAGTTTTCATGTACGTATGATAATGAAACTTAGATAATAAGGTGACAAGAAGTGAGCATCATCCTTTTCAACGTTCTTCAATTCTAAACTGAGTTGGGAAAAGAGAGATATTATAATTTTTGACGGAGCCATAAGTTCAACGAGTAGGACTGGGATGGACGGGTACTTCACATGGCATCATAATAAAAGTCATACTCAGTTTGACCACCACCTTCAACGAAAAAAGCAGCGGCAGCTTCTGTGATCCCAATCCGATGATCTGCACGTGTCCGCCATACTGAACCGTACAACTTCACATACACTGATTACTGGCCCAAACCTTGAAATCTCTAAAATCCCCACAATTTGTGATCTTAGATCGGAATGTTTGGCCACCCAAACAGTTACCTGTGGTCCGTAACAGAGGGGTGTGGATGGGGTCGTCACTACGCGTGATCTTAAACTCGTTTCCTCTGACCAGCCATGACCATTATATCGAAAATTGCCCGCTAAAAGCTCGAAGCTTCCGGGACGTTGTTTTCCCATATTTTTCTTTAAGACGTCTTCACAAGAATTAACTAGAAATTGATGAAAAACAGATATGAATACTGCATAAAAATTAAGGAAATAGTTACGAATGATATTGTTGTGGTTCTCAGTCTAGAACAAAAGGCGTAAGAACACAAGAACAAGACAGCACGCACAACATAACTAAACTAAGGAAAAACCTAAATCACACCAACAGTGGATAATTATTGGATGCCCATTTTTGTATACTGTGGCCTGGGTACAAGTAGTGAGATAACCGCCAGCCGGAATCTAGCCAATATCGAGACACATGTTTTCAACTTAGTATTTTTCACATTCCGACGATTTAGACGAAGATACTGGCTACTTTCTCATGGGATAGGACAGGAGCTACAGCATGTGGTTTGTTCGTTCGTTTGTTTGTTTAATGGTGCTATTGACCCACTTATTTATCATAAGTATTACTTAGAGTCTCGAGGGCACGATATCGTCACAAACTTGTCCCCGGTCAGTTTTAACGCCGCACTTATAAATCTTTGATTTTTCAAAAGAATGCTTCGAGATGCTTAGCCATGCGATAGTTTTTTCTATGTTTGAAATTCTGGACGGTTGAGATCAATTTAAGTGGGCTACTGGTGTTACTGTCATGACAGAATTGGTCTCTTAGACTAGAATGAAATTAGTATATGGTAGCTGGAATAATAGCAAATCATATTATTGATCAAAAGGCACCTTTTTCTTTGACAACTACTGACGTTGTTGTTTCTGCCAGTCCGATGCGATTTCTTGCGCGGCAGACATATTTCCCGTGACTGTTAAACTCCACAGTGTTGAATTCGAGGCAGCCTCGTTCCTGGAAAGCCAATGATGTATCAGCGGAGTGCACGTTACCAGCGCGTGACCATTCGACTTTGGGAGGAGGAGAGCCCACAGCCTCACAACAGAGACTTAAAACGGAGCCTTCATCTACGATGACCAAAGATGGTAGTTTCTTGACAAATGTTGGTGGCTCTGAAGGTGGAATAAAATCGATTAAAAAACCGACATGTAATAAACAACATCATGTGATCAATAGAAGCTGTCAGCAACGTGCAGCTACTTTTGGTCACATTGGCGAAAATTTTTAGCGTTGAAAATAGCAAGAACATGCAACTGAAACCTCTCATACTTTTTTTTAACATTATCAAGCTGACATAAATTCCCCCAACGTAACAGGCTTTAAAATTGCTATTTGAACACGTTCAATGTCGCGGGCTCACTGTGGAAAGACAAAAATGTGTATTTCATTGACAAGTAGCTGTCTACAATGGTGTTAGAGATACACATCATAAAAAATCAGAAAAATGAGGGGCTGATTCACGAAGTGAGGATTACGATAATATAATGCAACTACTCCATTCTGAGAACCACTGTTTATGTTCTTGTCCATAACGATTCTCGGCATCAATAAGGATCGCGATCACCATTTTATGTCTCAAAAAAGGAATTGCTTTGGTGATCAAGTTTTGGCCATCTTCCTTATGCCATATCGTTTTCCTTACAAGAACGCGAGCCTTCTTCCAATGTTGAAACAATCGCTTTGATGGAGGGCCAAAATGACTCACAACAGCAAGACCGAGAGCTGCCTTTTAATCAATCGTTACTGCAATGTGGGGCCTATTTGAAGACAGAGGAAGTGATCGCTGTAAAGCACAACCTTAGAAGAGAACAGTGGGGGTTTTTCCTTGCCCTGCTTTTAAAGGATCTCCTCGTTAAAGGAAAGAAAGGGAAATGAACTAGTATTTACTGACAACGTCATGCACATTTTGTGGCTCGACAACAGTGACACTAGCGACAAGTTCGTTTTCTATGAGGCTTACCGAGACGATAGGAACTCACCGTACACCATTGTAAACCGTGTGCGTATTGACGAGATCATTACTGATTCCTCTGGAATGAGATCTTATAAGCTCCCTCAAAAGGAAGTGGATAGAATTGAACGATTGTTGAAAGGTGGCGATGACAGTGACATTGACTCTGACGATGAACGCGTCAAAAATGAAGAAATGGCCGATAAGGATTCGTCTGATGAACCTCCTAAAAGTGTGTTTGTCAGCACCAGGTCGAGACGTTCAGCAACACGCTTACAGCTGTTTTACTTTTACAACCAGACATCTTGTGGACACTCAACATTGACACTCAACACTAGACCGACTAACATTGGTCTAGTGTTTGTTAAGTTTATCTTCGATAACAGTCAGCTTTGATCTTTTCCTATTTTTAACACCCGTGTCTTTTTTCAGTTTCCGGCTTTTGCCGTTTTTCTGACGTTCTTTTGACGTTTTGAGCTGTTGTTGAAATGTTTCAGTTGATTTTTTCACCTGCTCGTGATTGTTACATTACTTCGAATTGCGTGACTTGGCCCATTTTACCTGTCAAGATAGTTATCATAGTTATATTTTAGTCGTCTTTTGACAGATTTTGCAATCTACATGCTTACAGGTTTGGGCTCGACTCAAGTTTGCAAAAACAGCCACTGACATTGCATTTGGAGCTACATAGTTCCATCAAGAATATCAGATAGAGAAAATTTATTTGATATCTTGTAATTAACAGTTTTCCTTTAACTTTAGTATCAGCTTGAAGCAGTCGGAAAGGCTCTAAACGAAGGAAAACAAAAACAAGCATTACGCTTGTTAATAGAGACAAGTCTTTTATTTTTCACTTACAAAGTCCCACTTCATCATGTAAAAGCTCCATACAGATATTTATTTTATCTTTTGCCTACTTTGTGGTTTTTCCAAACTTCATTCAGGTTATGTTTGTATAGATTTGTCACCAATAACTGGAGCAAGATAGGTATGTACGACGATGGAGTTGCTTGCGGAAGAGACTAGTTGCCGTTAAAGCGAAAAATACATCGTGATAATAATAACCATAGCACCGAAAAATACAACACCAGCTTAGTTTGACAAAAAGGTCGCCGTATGTAGCACGGTGTGGCAGT